GGTTAGGGGCAGTGCAACATATGGAATGTCACTGGGGTGGTTTCAGCCTGAGAAGGGGGGGCAACACCGGACAGTGACGGCAGAGCAGACTCTGCCAAGGGAAAGACACAGGCTCACTCTCTCTCTCTTCGGAGCAAGGCGAAAGTATAAGGCTTCACCGTCTCAAAACTAAGCACTGTCTTGCTCTCTCTCCCTCGCACATATTAATCAAAATAAACGACACGATGGTAAGGTCGGGAGACTAAAGTTTCATGTGGAGCATTCGGAGATTTGTTTTTCCTGTTTTTTTTCTTGTTTCCTGTTTTCAAATGAGTCATTAGTTCGCGAATTGGACGTGTCATTATCGGACATGTGCCGGCGGTTGGGACATCCCACAAGATGTGTCATCACAGAAAACATTTCATCACTGGATAGTTTTTTTTTTCGTTTATTTAAAGTGTGGTTTATGTCAGCTGAATGTGCGGAACGCTTTTCAGAGAAGATAAGGCAACGTATTTTAGCACAATTCACACCCAGCGGTAGCCTAATTCAGGAAAAACAAATATCCGAATGCTCCACATGAAACTTTAGTCTCCCGACCTTACCATCGTGTCGTTTATTTTGATTAATATGTGCGAGGGAGAGAGAGCAAGACAGCGCTTAGTTTTGAGACGGTGAAGCCGCCTTGCTCCGAAGAGAGAGAGTGCGCGCGCGCGACCAGGGCTCTCTCTCTCTCTCTCTGCTCGTTCAGTTACTGTCACAAGCGCAGCAGTTCATCTACATTACTCACCGATCAAATAAGACTTTGGCGGTAAAAAAATTCGCTTTGGACGCCGTGCTATGGTGCTTGATAAAGGACAAAAGGGACAGTTGTGAGTTCACGGTCTGTAGCCTACATACTATGGCTGACTCAGCAGGAGCATCGATAAGAGGACTCGTTAACGTCGAGGGCATACAATATCGATGGATCGTAAAACTTAGAACCGGTTCTCGAGTGGAACCGGTTTTCAATTCCCATCCCTAGTGATGACACACATCTTGTGGGATGTCCCAACGCGCCGGGATAATCACACAAAGCGCACACGTCCGATAATGACACGTCCGATTCGCGAAGTAATGACTCATTTGAACCGATTCGTTTTAATGAATGGTTAAAACAACTGATCTTTCCAACACTGAACTCACGGTACGTTTAATCGGTGTATAACTAATCGGTAACACTTTACAATAAGGTTGAGGCCTGAGGCTTTGCATTCTGTCTACGTATAGGCGCAAAGCATAAACGTGACAGAGAAAAGCCAGGGCTGGGTCTGCCTCCTCCAAAGGCAGCGCTTGCAAGTTCATCACCTGGCACATATCCGGGCCGGGGTCTCAGGATCATGTGAGAGTTAGCCGGGCAGAATTCTAGACACGTTTCGTCGACCAAAATGCATGCAGGTCCCCTACCCTCTTGATGGAGGCCAATGCAACCAGGAGTACTGTTTTACAGGACAGAATCTTTAACCCCGCTGACTGCAAAGGCTCTGAAGTGCCAAAAGGAACAGAGACAAATACCAAGAGGGTATAGAGAGCGGGCGAGGAGGATTTAGTCTCCTCACCCCCCTCAGGAACCTGATGATCAGGTCGTGCTTTCCCAGTGACTTACCTTCAACTGCATCGTGATGAGCGGTGATAGCGGCAACATACATTTTAAGGGTCAGCCTTCGCTTTAACCCATCTTGCAGGAAGGAAAGCACGGCTCTGATCGAGCAAGTTCAGGGGTTCTCCTCGTGAGAAGAACACCACTCAACGAACAGGTTCCACTTCAATGCATAGAGGCGCCTCATAGAGGGGGCTGTAGCAGAAGTGATGGTGTCAACTACCGCTGGGGGTAGGTTACCTAGAATCTCCGTGTCCCGTCCAGGGCCATAGGGTGCCCCGTCTCTGAGAGAGCAGGTCCTCTCTCAGAGGAATGGGCCAGGGAGGGGCTGTCGAGAGGAGCACCAGTTCCGGGAACCAGGTCCGGTTGAGCCAATACGGCGCAACTAACAAGACCTGCTCCTCGTCCTCCTTGACCTTGCACAAGGTCTGTGCAAGAAGGCTCACTGGGGAAACGCATGCTTGTGTAGGCCCCGGGGCCAGCTGTGTGCCAGAGCATCCGTGCCGAGGGTTCCCTCGGTCAGTGAATAGAACAACTGGCAGTGAGACGTGTCCGGGGCGGCAAACAGATCTACCTGTGCGGTCCCAGAGCACCTGAAAATCAGCTGGACCACCTGGGGATGGAGTCGCCATTCTCCTGGTAGCACCTGCTGCCGTGAGAGCTCGTCGGCTGCAAGGTTGAGCAGGCCCAGCGCAAGATGTACTGCTAACAACTCGAGGCAGTTGATGTGCCAATGCAGTTGAGGCCCCGTCAACAGACCTGAAGCTGCATGCCCGTTGTACGTGGCCCCCCAGCAGAGGCATCCGTGGTGACCACAGAATGCCTGGACACTTGTTCTAGTGGAACACCTGCCCGCAGGAACGAAGGGTCCGACCACAAGCTGAGAGTTTGGTGACAGTGCGGGGTTACTTGGACCCGGCACGAGCCGCTCTGCCACGCCCATCTCGGGACTTGATCGTGGAGCCAGTGTTGGAGCAGCCTCATATGAAGCAATACGAGTGGCGTTATCGCAGCTGCAGATGCCATATGCCCCAGGAGCCTCTGAAAAGGTTTCAGTGGTGCCGCTGTTCTGCGTCTGAGCGAACTCACGCAATTCAACACTGACTGGACACGGGCCTCTGTGAGGTGCACTGTCATGTTGATCGAGTCCAACTCCATACCGAGAAAAGAGATCCTCTGCCCGGGTGTGAGTTTGTTCTATTCCCAGTTGACCTGAAGCCCTAGGTGGCTGAGGTGACTGAGCACCATGTCCCTGTGTTCGCACAACTGCTGTCTCGACTGGGCCAGAATGAGCCAGTCATCGAGATAGTTGAGAATGCGAACACTACGCTCACACATGGGACTAATGGCCGCCTCCGCGACTTTCATGAAGACACAGGGCGACAGGGCCAGCCCGAAGGGTAAGACTTTGTACTGATATGCCCGTCCCTCTGAATCGCATAGCCGAGTCTGATAGTACGGATGAGCCGGCGAGACGGGCTGGGAAGCTTAAGCCAAGCTCCCAGACACCGAGCAAGAGGGACCAACAGACGTACCCGCGGTGGGGCAGTGTGGCAGAATGCAGGGACCCGACTCGGACGGCATAGAGGCCCGAAGTGGGGTCTGAATGTGTGGTACAATATGTACCTGCTTCCGTCGAGGGGCAGAGTGAGTGAGAAGAGTCGTCAATGCGTCCGGGACACAGCCACTGCTGCTCGCTGGCGATGAAAGAGGGGCTTGAGGGTGACAAGGCATAGCGTTGTCGACCGCCAAGCGCGCCCTCTTGGGACCCAGAGGTTTCAGAAATTGCTCTTTCATTGAAAATCCCCATCCGCCGGGGGAATGAGCGGCGCGTTCACCATCTCCTGAAGAGCAACTTGATTCACCTCTGGGTCACCCGTCTCAGGGTCATTTGCACCTCCGCTTGCCTCTTGGTTTGGCAGCGGCCTGGACTTCCTGCGGCTTGCTCCACGCTGAGGCCTGGATGATGGCTGCTGCCGAGGCTTAACGGGAGCAGAGGACGCCGCGGGAGGCCGACCTCGGCGACGAGCGGACGGGGGGGTCTGTGGCCGGCGGACGGGGCAGGATGTGTCGGATCGCCTCCGTCTGCTTCTGTGCGGCCGAGAACTGCTGGGCAAAGCTCTCGACCGCATCGCCGAACAACCCAACCTGGGCCTGGTGGACCTGCAAGAGTGCCATGGCATGGAGGATGGAAGCAGCCTGTCCACAGGCTTTATAAGCCTTCGCCGAAAGACCGGACAAAAACTTACAAGCCTTGGAAGGGAGGCGTGGATTACCCCGCCAAGAGGAAGCAGACTCTGGACACAGCTGCATTGCAACGGCACGCTCCACTGGCAGGATATCCACATACCCTTACCTGCCCCGCCGTCGAGGGTGGTGAGGGGGGAGGAGCCAATAGGACGGCTTCTGGCAATATATGGTGTCATCCACATCCTAGTAAGCTCCTCATGCACCTCCAGAAAGAAAGGTACCGGCACACTGAGAACCAGCACGGCCCGCCCCGAGAAACCAATTGTCCAACCGGGAAGGTTCGGGACGTGGTGGAGGGTTCCACGCAAGCCCGACCTTCTTGGCGGCCCGGGAAAGCATAGCCGCCCCACTCTGGAGCGGTCTCGGACAACGCTACACTCCCCGAAGGGGGCAACCCAGCTGAGTCGTCATCTCCAGAGGACTGAAGCTCCCCCTCCGATGCTGCGACTGACATCGGGTCATCAGGTGAAGCTCCAAAGGACACCACTGGTCATCCACGCGAAGGACCAGCACGCTCCTTTGAAGGCTCCAATGGTGGCAGCGCTTGTGAGGCGTGAGGGGCCCACGGAGATTGCCTCGCCCTCACGGTGATCCTCAAATCACCCTGGCCATGCGCCAAAGTAGGTCTATTCTGAGGTCCAGAATAGACGCTAGATCGGGCATAGGCGAGGGGAATGCACCTCCCTTGAGGTAAGCGAGTCTCGATCTAAGCGCTACTATAGTCATATTCCCGCAATGGGAACATGAACTATTCACAAAGGCTGCCTCAGCGTGCTGAATGCCCAAACACAAGAGGCAACTATTGTGGCCATCTGCTGGCGCCAGGGAACGACCGCATCCAGAAACGCACAAGCGGAATGATATCCTGAAAATGACGCAGGGTCACGCTTGTGTTGCTCTTTTAGTGAAAACAAAAAAACAGAAAAACTCTTTCAGTACTGAGGCACCCAGGGGTAGCCGCGGTGTAACGCGATTCATGCACGCCAACGTTCATTGGCTCGTTTTGTAGACACTCGAAGATGATAGGGCTCCCTGAAGTGATCCCAATTACATCGTCATGTCGTCGTTACGTCGAACATGAGCGAGTGATAGGGAACCATATTTTTATATCCTATGATTCATATGGTCTTACCGCCACAGCCTCCAGAATCTGTTTGATAACATGAGCTGCATCTCGCTCGCTGTAGTAGCCCCTCTCCACAATCCTGAAACAACACACAGCTCATGTATGACCATCTTAAAGACAAATTCAGCAAAAACAACAAAAAAAATCACATAGCACATATATAGACTTTCGAATGTTTTTAAATATGAACAGCTGATGTGTGTGTGTCTGGCAGCATCCAGTGCTCTGTTTAGCAGTGTGTAGATGTGTGTCGGCAAACCCTAAACTCATTATTGGGAACTTGTTTTATTCAATTTCGTCTCACTGATAAGCAGAAGAGCAGACAGAAAGCCCACTGAGCTGTAAGAACCTGAGCCGGAAGGTGTGATGATAAAGAAAGAATGAGATTCTTGTGCTGAAGACCCCCATAAAGGCCCCGATATCCTTCAAGCGAAATCGAAGAACGAACATCATTTGGAGTTTATTTTGGGAGTTTGAACTTTCCAGAAAAGTTCGCTATGGTTGGTAAACACCTTTGAACTCCCATTGGTCCGTAGTGATTATGTAATAGGTAGGTGTACGCTGAGGCTCGACCTTCTTTCACGTGAAAATCTTTTCCCGTTCATTTCTCCTGTTCAGTCCGTCGAAGTCAGACGTCCGTGAGTGAGAACATGAACACACTGGAGAGCTGCTTTAACCCTCTGGGGACCAAGGGGGTTTTGGGGCCCTTGGGATGTTTTTTTGACATGCACTGACATTTGTGCTTTTTTCAGTTATTTATAAACATGTTAATGGCAAAGGTGTAAATTCACTCTATATAGCACAAACGGGGCTACCATAATATGTGAGCAACATGTATGTACATGTTTGTATTTTTGAGAGAATATTATTTATGCATGGTTATTTAAAAACTTAAAAATAAAAGTTTCTGAAATAAGGCCACAAAACACATACTGATTATTTCTTCACAAGACTTTTGAAAATTGTATCACATAGTCTAGAATATTTGCTCCAAAACTATGTGAGAATCATCCTGACTACTCATTCAGATAAGTCAATAAAGTCTTTTAGAATGTGTATGACGTGTTTTGTTTGAGAAAGCTTTATGCGAGGAGGCGTGATCTCTCATTAATATGTATGGCATTTCACACCTGAGAAAGACAAAGACCCTCCCATAATGGCCCTATTAGGTGCTATCAGGCCATATCATTATGAGGAGCCTTGCACAAAAAATGAGGAGATTTAAAAAAGAATGGCTTTTAGATTGTTTGGATTTATTTACAACACAACATAATCCAAAGATACACAACAAAGGACAAAAAAGCACATTAGTAAACACACTGATCTAAAGACAGAGGCTTGAACAGTCACACAGCATTGTCCCATTCCTGAAACATAGTACATACCTGTCATTTCCAAGGTGTTTGATTTTTCATTTTACCATGTTCATGTACAGTCTCCTGTGAATGTTGAAGTCAGCAGGACTCATCAGTGGCATCTTGTCCCTGTAAAAAAATAAATAAACACCTGTGAACATGCTGATATCAAGAGAAACTATATGGCTGCACGACTTTGGTTTTTTTGGTTTTTTCGAATTTTTCTGGTTAAAATTGCTTTTTAATTATGTATACACACACACACACACACACACACACTGCTTAGAATAAGTGAACACACCCATGCTAAAGTTGACTAAAAAGAGGAATAAAAAATCTTAATGCCTTAATTAAAAAAATGAGGAAAACTCCAACCTTTAGGGACATGAATAATGTCCCTGAATTCTTTGTGAATGAATAATGTATCACAAATAATTAAATATTCTTCTTTAAAATACAGGGTGCATACGTCTGGACACTTCTATCCCCAGAAACTCCTAACAAAAGCTTATTTGATGTCTTTATTTTGAAGCTTATTTGATGCTTATTTGATTTGAAAAACTTTATCCAAAACTAGTCAACGAAATGTTGTCTTTTATTTCGTCTGTAACAGTGCGTATCTGTGCGTTCATTCATTCATTCATTCACACACACACACACACACACACACTCACACACACACACACACACACACACAGAGAAACATGATTCACATTTAAACACTATGCTATTTTTCCGTTTACAGACACTAACGTTATTCTATATCGCGATTAGAACAAAGCACAAGCATAAAACACTTACACTTCTCAGCTGAATCTGTTGCTCCTCCTCGAAGTGAAAATAAACCAGCATTTGTTCTGTGGTGAATGTCCCAGGAATATTCCTCATAGCCGCGCAAGACGAATCTTAATCTGACTAAAAAATATAGTGTGTTTACAGAGTTTACAGCATTTGCCTGGGGGCGTTTATCTATTTTGCATATGGCCTCAACACATTATCTTATGAATAGCGCGCTCTGCGAGTGGGTGTGAACAAATTAACGATAATGAGCTGAGACAGGAGAAACTGTACTTCTCTTTAGTTTCAAACAGATTACATTGCAAGAGAATATTTGTTTTAAATGTGAATTGTTTTATTTAAAAGTAGAAATTTAAAGCGTTCTTTAGACGTATGCTTCATGTTTGTTTGATAAGTATTAGCTGAGTTTCAGTTCATTTTCCAGACATGTTTCAGAAAGATTTTTGCGGAGACAGAGTGAGCTGAAAGCGCACCCTGTTTATTTTATTTATTAAAAAAAAAAAAAAAGGTTTTGATGTTAATGTGAGTGTACACAAAAAAAGAAGACCCTCTATAGTTTATAATCATGTATTGATTTTATTTATATGACCATAAATGACGGAATATTTTAAGTCTATGTTGCTGCTATGTGAAAAAAAAACAGCAAAACGCGCCGGCGCGTTTGCCGTCCCCAGAGGGTTAAAGTAGAAAATGAAGTTGTACTTCTGATGAAACGAGACACTTACATTGTTTTTCATGTTTAATACGGTAAAGCTGCTTGATTTTAAGAAATATATTGTATAAGTATAAGCGTGGCGTGACTTTACTAGAGTGCCGAATTGCAGAGTTCGTGCAAACATATCCACGTTGCTATGATCAGATGCTTTTCTTATGCTTTCTTTAAAAAAAGCTTTCTGTTTTCTTTCTGTGTTTATTTTGTTAATGAGAGAGGAAAGCACTCAGCACATATTTACATATTCATCGAACCGTTTCTCTGAGCAGTGTGAGAGGCATCGGATGTTTGATAACAGTATATCGCTGATCACGTCTTTCGAACTTTGTTTTTCCCTTAAGCGAAGAACAAAAAAGAACTTCGCTGTGAGTATATCGGGGCCTTAAGATCTAAGGAGATAAACTAGGCCCTCATCATATCACCACATGGTAGATTACCTCTTAATACACTTTGAGCTTTGGGCTTGCTGGGGCTGTAGCCACACCAAAAAATCAGAAGATAACAGACATATTGTCCTCTTGTAATCTGCTATTGGTGAGTAGCCTGATCTTTTTGAAGATTCACTCACATTATACACTTCAAATAATATAGATTTTAATATAAATTCTTGCACTTTGTTCGCCCTAGCTATAGTCGACAAGTTTCAATAAACTGTTATTTATTCAAAGAGCAATGAATCCCTTGTGAAACAAAATAATATGCCAAGTATACTTGCAACCAGACTTATTCAGGATACTTCAAGTGTGTTAATGATTAGTTAACTTGAAGTGGAACAACTAACTTTGTACTGAGTATATTTTAGTTGTAATTAAATTGTAGTAAAGCATAACTTTAAGTGAATTTAGTATACTTTTGTGTGCTAAATTGGAACAACTTCAAGTATACTTAATATACTTTAAGTATATGCCTACATGCTTGATTTGTGATATTAAAGTGTACTTTATTTGGGTTACAAGTACATTACAAATTCATTACGAGTGTCTTCAAAACATTCAAGTCATATACCATAAGTCTTATATTTAAGTAAAAGGTATATGCTCAGTAATAGCTTTGGCTTATTCCAAATACTACAAATTGCACACTTTGTCTTCAATAACAAAAGCACATTAATAAACTAATATTACTTAGCTATACGTTGTACAATATACTATTGAATACTATAATGTATTTTGAAAGTATACTTCAATGCATTGTTATAATGATAATTTTCAGCATATTTTCAATATATTTTTAAGTGCAAATAAATACAGTTTTTAAAAAATAAACAGAATTTTCACTTCAAGTATATTTTTCTAAAATATATTTTTAGAAAATATACTTTAGTACTAGTACTTTAGTACTATTTTAAAGTGTAATAAAAGTTGTATTGTGAAAATAGTTAAAAGCATGATGCAAATATACTTTTAATATATTTAAATATAGTACAATTTTGTTAGTATATTTGCAATGTACTATTGAAAAAGGGAATATATTTCAAAACAATAAAGTATACTTTTTTTCATAAATGAATAGTTTATAATGCAGTTTTCACTATCATTGACTTTCATTATGTGGGCAAAAACAGTTTACACAATTTTTCTTAATATCTTCTTTTGTGCTCCAGTCAAACAGGTCTGGAATGACATGAGGGTGAATAAATTATGAATTTTAATTTTTGGGTGAACTATCCCCTTTAAGCTGACGTTGCAACTCATAAATCCTGTTTCACATTTGAATTGCCTCTAATTAATGGAGGACATAATACCTGTCAAAGAGCTCTCCACCTGTGACCAACTCAAGGATGAGAAAGATCTCGGTCTCTGTCTCAAAAATTTCCTTCAAACGAATCTAAATGAAAACATAGTAAGAACAGTCACATCAGAGCAAGCCTATCCATATTCTCATGGAAAACAATGAATATGAAATATTTCATAACAATGTGAAGAGAATTTCACAATTCATTGCGGGGAACATAATATCTTACAATATTTGGATGAGACAGACGCAGCAGGACTCCAATCTCTGTCCTCACGATTTTCTTGTCAATCTGAGTTGATGACACATTGAAAATAACCTCAAACAGTTATTCTGGGATTTCAGGAAAAATTTAAATATGCTCCTATAAAATCACCAATCAACTTACAGTTTTCTTCAAGACCTTCACAGCATAAGGTTTCTCAGTCTGCTTCTCTTCACAGCGAAACACAACAGATGTGGCACCCCTGGTGGTTAACACAAAGCAATCGTAATATACTCATAATTAAATAAGGTTCTTAAATTTGATAAACAAGCATCATAGAAAGTACCATACGCAAACACACATCACAAAGTGATAGATGGGAAGATGCTAATAAAACCAAGAAATCTGATGAAATAAAAATGTTGGCATTTCACACTGTGACCTCCACCGCTCACCTAATCTTGGAGGTTCCTACCTACATTCTACCTTCCCCATCACCACTATTATGTCCATGCATTTCCATGACAACTGAGTATAAACAATCAGTCTCCATGAGGCCATGAAATCTTAAAGAAGGGAATACACATTTAATGACACATACTAAATTAAACTGGACCAAAAATGAAATGGGCCTATTAAACTTCAGACAAGGCTCTTAAAATGCTCACATATACAAATACTCAACACACTGGATTCAGCTTGATGTACTAGGCTGAACATAATATGCCATGTATTACAAAATCACCTTCCCTCTCTAGTGCATAAGCTCTTTTGCATGGCTGTGTTATGTTATACAATACGTGTGTTATATATATAACCATGGTCCTCATGTTGTCTCTCAGATCTTTGCTTTTCATGGTCATTGAATGACTCAATCAGACAAGCACTCAAAGAGAAGGCCATCATTTCTCCATCTGCTGCCTGACATCAGTGTCTGACAAACAGTCTTCAGCATTATCAGCAATAGACATCAAACTACTCACAGTCATATAATGTGCAGGAATATGCGTACATTAAAAACATTTAATTCTGTGAAAACGAGCCCCATAGAAGTCCTTCTCTGAGCTGAATTTCATGCCAGGTTACATGGCTATAATGTCAGACTGAAATCAGGTGACAGCATAATTGCTCAACATTTTGCATCCCACATCCTTATACATTTTAAAATACTTGGTGACATTTGGAAAGGTTGGGTGTTTTCTTAACGTGCATTATAATTAGTTTACTACAGGGAGATCAAATTTTAGCTCAATTAGTAGAAACCTATTAAATCAGTTATCTTTATTTACATAGCTGCCATTTATTCAAATTTATTATTTATTCAGATTTTCAAGTTAGTTTTATTTCTGCCACAATGATAACTAATTAAACAAAAACAAAGTATCAACCAACCAACTATCGGTAACAACATAACAATGATATTTATAAATATGTTATGCTTTTTTATTGTTGCAGTCTCATGATTACTTATTGTGGTACAAAGCAGACATAAAATAATTAAATATTGGTTCTGCATATCGGTTAATTTGTATCACTATAGTCATAACAAAATAGGTCGACTAGTAATTAAGTAACAAAAATCATGTGTAGCCTACACAGTGTGAACGTATAGGCCTATGTATTTTCAATATAATATAAAAACCGATGTTAATTGGATGAAGTAATGTACTCACCTGCCTAATTCTGGGCCCATGTTATAGAAATCCTCAACTGTCGCATCTCGGCGCGATCCATCGACCCAATATTCCACCGTGCACGCGCCAGACCGAGAGGTGGGCATGATGGACTCTCCGAAGACTGTTCTTCTGTTATAATGAATGCAACTAATCCCTTTGATTAGGGAAGCCCAGGGAACCTCGAACACTTTCACATCTGGGAGTCAGCTTAAGCTGTATGTTTGTTAGTCTATGTGTAGCCTATAAATCTGCTGTTTCAAGTGATCAATGATTTACAATGTCCAGGTTTCCATTTCCGTCTGAGTGCGCGTATTAAAAGTCAGCCCAGACACTGAAGCATCACTGCGGGCTGGAGTTGATCTCCAAATCAGGTCTATTTAAATTGATCTATATCTGTATCCTACAAGAAGATATGATTTTTTTTACGCGGTTTTCTAAAATATTGATCAAAACAATACAAAGGCTGTTTTCAAAGTGGTTCTTCGGCTTCCAAAGGGCGAATAGATCCCATCCCCAAATCTCTCATGACACACAACATTCAAGAAAACATCATAATCCTGCGATTCACGATGTCACAAGCGACAGGATGATGAACGATTCCTTGCTTTGGTCCTCGACAGAATGAAAAACAAACAGTCTTATTTCTCAGATGCTTCTCAAAAAACAGAAGGCTATTGTGACTTAGCAGGATGAAGATGAAGTAAATGTCGTTTTTAATGTAAATATCAGACTGCTGTTTGTGCTGGTAGCCTAAGGAGTGGAGAAAGGGAGGGGGTCTGTCACACGCTAAACCGCACACACACACACACACACACACACAGTCACATGCACACACTCCGCCTCACTCCCAGTGCCTGGCTTTTACTGTGGGCTGCAAATGGGAAGCGGAATATTCAGTCAAAATAACGAATGTGCTTCTGATATCATTATGGAAATGTATTGTTATTAACAGTTGTCGAACGTCAACGTGCATTACACAACCTATACAGTTATTCCTGCACTAACGCCACATCACCGCTATTGAATCTATAGTGCGACCAGTAGTCGATTCCCGAACGATTCTGATAAATTAATAAAACACACAGTGAGATTAGTGTATAGTCAGATATAATTTCAGAACAAATGACTCGTATAAACCTGTTCTTTTCAGTGAAACAAAACATTCAACGCCTCCATTTTAATCTGATTCCCGAACAGCTAACCAGTCCGTAACCAATAGCTTTATAGAGCCTGAAGTTTTAGTAGGCTAAATCAGAACAGTGTGACCAATGTTTTACGATTCCTGAATGAATGAGTCTTTTTTTGAGTCTATTCTTTAAAATGAATCGAAAACACTGAACCAATCTGAATGAATGTAATTTGTTATGTTAAGGTTTGTAAGAATTAAATCATTGTAGTTACTGGTTGTCCATAGGCTATATACAAGAAAAACATATTGTACTTTTGTGGTGTTCATAGTTAACCACAAGGTGGCAGTGTACTGCTTAAGTGTTGAAGTGCTGCTGAGGAAGAAGAAGAAAAAGGTGTTCGGTTCGAAAAGACATGTTTGACATGTGTTGAATAAAAAGCCTCGAAGGAATTACTCTGGTCTTGTGCTTCATACTATAAAACACAATAAATTGGCGACGATGGTTTCCGTGCCTATACACTGTAAAAAATAAAATGCCATTTTTACAGTAAAATACCGGCAGCTGTGGTTGCCAGAACTTTACCGTCAAAAATATGATACAGACATTATTGGTTTTACAGACTTGACTTAAAATTTACAGTAATAAACCGTATTTCATTATCTGATATAATGTTAATTTACCAACCTATGTATGTATTAATATCTGTTTTGTACCATTGTAATACACTGACAAACAACAATCATCACAGCAGTGATGAAAGTCACATGATAAATCAAAGCTCATCACAAGCAGCTCATCCACAAGAAAGTTAATACTAATGTATAGAAGCTGCACAGTGTCATTCACACAAACACTAAACAGCATCATGGTAACACATGAAATTTTAAAAATGCAATAAACATTAATTTAACAACATTAAATGTAACATAAAACTCTAATGTACATGACTGATAAGAAAAGAACTAAGAAAACTAAGAAGAAACATAGTTATTTCAACAAAAATACATCAAATGTGAAGTGTCACGCAGGGAATTGTGGGAATGTCAATTTACGGTTTTTCACTGTAAATTATACAATGAGTTGTTCTTTTTCACTTTCAAAAGCTGTAAATTTAACGGTATTTTACAGTAAAATTACATTAAATGTACCGTTAGATCTATCACAGTTATTTACCGTATAATATTAAGGAAACTTTCTGTTAACCAATTAACAGTTTTTCACTGTAGCATTTTTACAGTCTTTTACCGTTAAAATCACGATAATTTTTTACAGTGTACGCCTGCATCTTTTCTGCCATGCAGTGGAGAGCCTGCGATTCCTTTTGTTACCTGACGAAAAATGTTTGAAAATTACTTGCTTGCTATTAATTCTACAGGAGACTCATGGCCTGATGCGAGGAAACATGCTATTCTACTACACAGCTTGGGTACTGAAGGCAGGAGGCTGTTTTACACGTTGCCTAATACTGGAACTACATTTGCAGAGGCAATGACAGCGTTGGAGGATCATTTTGTTCCGAAGGTGAATGTTGTGGTCGCTTGACATCGCTTTCGCCAGCGTTCTCAACGTGCTGACGAGACCATTTCACAGTTCCTGTCTGCTTTGCGGGAATTATCTTCATCATGTGCTTATGGTGATATGGGGTGTGAAATGCTGCGCGATTAGCTGGTCGAACGATCGTATGCTCCAGCAGTGCGAGACAGACTCCTGCTGGAACCATCACTGACCCTGGACACCGCTATTGTTATTGCGTGTCAGGTGGAACAAGCGCTCTCGAATTCGGACATGCTCACGGCACAAAGTTTAGTTCATGCCGTGGCTGTAGTGTTTTGTAGTATGAAGCACAAGACCAGAGTAATTCCTTCGAGGCTTTTTATTCAACACATGTCAAACACGTCTTTCTGAACTCCACACACTGCTTCTTATTCTTCCTCAGTAGCACTTCAACACTTAAGCATTACACTGCCCTCTTGTGGTTAACTATGAACACCACATTCCCCTCTTACTTGAAAGATTCTTCATATCACAGATTAGTGTTCAGAACCAGAACCTTTTTTTTTTTTAAGTAACAAAATTGCATAACATTACTGTGTACTGTTATTAACCTTACAACAACTTAACCAATGTAATTGACATTGTTTTACTAATTCTAATGTACAGTTTTATGTATTTACACAACTATAACTGTTCACAAGCTCACAACATAACCAAGACAGGATGCATGTTTTTTTTTTTTTTCATTCATGTACAATTTCACTTCACTGTAAATCATATTCCTTTAACCACGCTGGCGTTCTACGCACTCTACTACTCTTTCTAAGATTAAATGTCACTGGTGGCTGCAAGCTCTCATTCTGAGTGGTAACAGGGCCTGTAAAGCGAGTTAGTTTGGAAACATTCCATTTCTTTTTGTCACTCAGGACAAAGGTACTTTTTCCGATTTGTTGCTCAATGCTCAGGGGTGGTGAGAACTGAGAAACACCCTTTCTCACATGCCCAGGTTGTTTCACTCTCACCTGGTCTCCTGGTTTGAAAGTGTGGTACTTGGCACCACGTCTTTTGTCAGTGTACTTTTTACTCTTGAGCTGTTTGTTACTCACAGTCGCTTTCACTTGAGCACATTTGTCACTTTTGGGGCCAACAGGAAAAACATTCAGCTTTGTACGCATTTTGCGATGATGAAGAAGCTCAGAAGGTGAAACTGCTGTAGTACTGTGTGCGGTAGCTTTGCAAGAACTCAGTCACTGCATGTTTCCATGGTTTCCCCATCTGTTCCGCAGAAAGGATGCATTCTTTCAGGACTCTATTCCACCTCTCCACAGCGCCATTGCCTTGTGGATAATACACGCTACTACGCATGTGACTTATTCCTCTCTCCTTTAAGAATGGTGCAAACACACTGGAGGTGAATTGAGGCCCGTTGTCAGTCACAACACACTGTGGATTTCCCTCTCTACTGAACACTGATTGGAGGAATGATGTGACCACCTCAGCAGTGACATTTGGAGAAAACGCTACCTCAGGCCACTTACTATGATAATCCACCAGACAAATGGCAAAAAAAGCAGTCAGAAGGTCCTCTCTTAAAAGGTCCAACGATATCGATCGCTAGTTTCTGCCATGGTTCAGACGGTAGACTGACAGGTTGAAGAGGAGCTGGTGCTGTTTTAGCCGATTTGTCATTCAGTTGGCATGTTAAGCAGGAAGAAACAGCCGACTGCACGTGAGCATCCATCTGAGGCCACCAGAATAATTCACGCAGCCACTGTTTCGTTTGGACAATTCCTTGGTGTGTCTCATGTGCCAGGCTTATCATTTTACAGCGCAATGTAGAAGGAACAAGAACACGATGTTCGCCTCTCCTCACTAGCACACCATCCACACACAGTTCATCACGAATACGAAAGAAGGGCACCAGAACAGGATCCAGGTCACAGGATTTTTTCGGCCAGCCCTGCCCGATTCGCAAGCGCCGCTGGGTTAACTCTGGACAGGCTTCCGAAGCAGCTATGAAATCCTCAGCAGACAATGTAGGCAGCCCAGTAACGAAAGCAACCATTTCTGGTTCCACAGCACTATCATTTCCTGTTGGTAGTGGCAGCCTGGATAAACAATCTGCAGCACAATTAAGACGTCCAGGTCGGTAGATGACATCATATGTGTAGCAAAGCAAGCGTGCCGACCACCGGGCGACCCGCATACCGGCCCGGCCAATGCCTTTGGTTGCCAACAGTGTAGTGAGCGCAGAATGATCAGTTCTGAGCGTAAAGTGTTGACCCCACAAATACGGCCGCCACTTTTCTACGGCCCAGACACAAGCCAACGCCTCCTTCTCAACCGTAGAGAATTTCCTTTTCGGCTGCAGTAAGGGTTCTGGAAGCAAACGCTACAGTCCTTTCAACACGGTCTGGATGTATTTGTGTCAAAACCCCACCCAGGCCATAGTCAGAAGCGTCAGTCGACACTATAGTGGGAAGGGAAGGGTCAAACAACGCAAGCACTTGACTTCCAGAAAGCAGTTCTTTCAGCTCTTTGAAGCTGCGTTCAGCAGACACAGTCCAGTCAAACTTAGTAGCTGACATATCTCTAAGTAGCGCACGCAACGGCTCAGCAACAGAAGCAAAGTTCGGCAAGAACTTGCTGTACCATGAAATCAGTCCCAGAAATGAGCGCAAGGAAGCAACATCTTGCGGCGCAGGAGCCTCAATGATCGCAGATTTGTGTTCCTCATCTGGGAAAATTCCATGTTTGGAAACAACGTGTCCAAAGAATTTTAAGGATGACTGGCTGAACGTACACTTGTCCCAGTTCAGTTGTAGTCCTGCGTCTGACAAGCGCTGCATGACTGAGCGCAGCGTCGTATCGTGACTTTCCTGGGTGGCACCATACACTATGATATCATCCAGGTAGTTCCTTACGCCACGTATGCCTTTCAGGACAGTTTCCATCATCTTTTGAAACGCCAATGGCGCGGAAGCAAGGCCGTACGGAACCCGGCAGTACCTGAAGAGACCATCATGCGTAATAAAAGCTGTGATGTCCCGGCATTCCTCGTGTAAGGTAAGCTGATGGTAAGCAGCCGCTAAGTCAATTGTAGTGAACACTGATGAGCCGCTTAGTTCACTCAAAAGTTCATCTATATGCGGCAGAGG